AAGGATGCAGTGTACTGACAGATGGGGTGGCTAATAGCTGGTTTTCTTTTATGTGGTTTCCCCCCATTCTTCCTGTTTTGCCAGCATGGCACCAACTGATCCTTAGCAGAAGTCCCACCACTCTTTTTTTCATTCACTCCTGCTGTGCACTCAAAAGTTTGTAAGTCATCTCCATGAGTTACTGGGGCTGGATCCCTGAGGAGTGATAGATGCCTCTTAGAATTATCCTCCTGAGAAGTAACAGAGAGCAGTGATTCACCATCCCTCCCTGACCCCCATTGGTTGACAGTTCCTTAACAGGAACTTTGGCTTTTTTCCCTGAGCTTTTGGCTGCAAATGTATTCACGCAGAGTGGTCTTCTGTGTCATCTGTTGTGACACCGAGGAGCCCTGGGTGCTTGAGGTGTTATCCCGTTAGTATGCCATGAGACAAAATGTTCACAGAGCTCTTTGCCGTGACATGGCTGAAATCAGACATGAGGCTGAGAAGGTGTAAGGCAGGCACAAGTGGCATCTGATACAGAGAATGAGGTAGGAAATTTCAGGCAAAAGACATTAGAGAGACTCCTTCCACAGTTATGGTTCCTATGAGACACAAGAGAAGCTTAATAAAAGCAAAGACAGGTCCTGCTTGCTGTTACCTGCCTTTACAAGGACTAGAACACATCCAAATGAGCCTCAGGTGATGACAGTTCCTCACGACACTTAAATCTGGTTCAAAGGAATACATTTTAGACCAAGGTATAAAAACAACAGACAAAACTCCCTTCTCATTGCCATATTTTGGCATTGCCTCCAAATTTCAGTATCCATCCAACGCTGTTATAATTCACAACATGGCGGTGAGAAAGTGGACCAGCACTAGGAGATAGGGAAGGGACAAGTAACACGTGTTGTCTTCACCTATAGTGGGGACGTTTGTCCTTGGAAGTCTGTCATAGTTTCTTTTAGCTCCTTGTGATTTTTAGCATCCTCCCACAAGTACTGAAGAATCTGTACTTTAGCAGACATCTCAGAAGAGGATTATAATTTCTGAATCAGTATTAGATCCTGTGTGTGCCAAAATTACTGTACTCTATATATCCACTAGGGGAAATTATTCTCACATAAATGATGGACAAATTTTTGCTGAATAGCTTCATTTTACAGAAAAAGAATAATAGAGGGCTGGTATATAATTGAATCCTGGAGGACAAAAGGGAAAAAGATTATCAGAGAACATTTACCTCTAACTCCCACTGTTTATGGAAATTGTTCACAATACAGTTTCAACCGGATATTCTCCTTAGAAATCCTCCACTTAAAGGAAAAAAGGAAAAAGCATCATGTGAGTGAAAGCAACAAGGAGAGAAACAGTTTTAAGAATATGGGAAATACCATCCATTTCCATGTTGCAGCAGCAGCAGCAGCAGCAGCAGGTTCAAGGCAGGGGGTTCTGACATTCATTGCTGAAGAGGTAGGCAAGGGTTAGATCCTAAAGAAGTACCACGGTAAGTTGCCCAGGCATTATTCTGTAGACAGTCGCTGAAGGGGACAAAACACAAAAATGATGTAATAAGCCTTCATCTAAGAAGAGTGGTTGGAACCCTTGTGGACAGTGAAAACGAAGGGACGAAACGAGTAGCAGAGAGAGTGTGAAGGAATCTCTTGCATCTCTGAGAAGGTTGTGATCGCAGCCTGGTGCCTGGCAGGTACAGTGGAGTTGGAGAAGAGGGTTCTAGTACCAGAATATTTGAGGTATAATCCATGACTAAGTTAAGAATGTGCTGTAAACAGCGAGGGAGTAGGGGACTGAAAGGTATGTCAGATTTTAAGCTTGAGTTAAGGTGGCTGCCGTATAGCCAGTGTGTACTGGGGATGCAGAAGGGCTTGAGGAAAGGATGCAGGGCAGTGGGAAGAGATTAGTTTTAGAAATACTGGATTTAGGTTCTCTCAAAAATTAATAATCAGGTTCAGCTAGCTAGTGAAAATCACAAGAAGGGGAGGGAGTTGGAAATCTGGAAATACAGATTTGGAAGTCAAAAGCATTCTGATGATAGTTAAAAATGACATAAGATGAGTTAATTTTACATAGGTTTTTTTTTTTTTTTTTTTTTTGAGTCTGGGATTAAGTCCGAGAACTGAGAAAAGCCTCCAAAGTTAAAGAATATGTAAAAGAAAGAGATTCACTTACAGAAATGGGGATAGAGGTAAGAAAGTAGGATGTCTTGGAGAACAAGGGCATAACACATTTTAAAAAGAATAGGATTAGCAGTGTTATTAAAGTAGAGAGATCCAGTAAGATAGAAACTACAAATGACTATTCAATTTGGTGAAAATGTTATTATGGGCCCCGACAAGAGCAACTTTAGTGGAGTGCTGAGAGGGGGCGCCAGAATTCAGCAGATCTAGATGGCAAATATATTGCACATCTCACCCTTCAATGTGGGATCTGTGGATCATTAACTAATTATGGTAATGGGCGGGGTGGGGGGTGGTAAACAGGCAGGTAGAACAGAAGAAGTGGAACATATAAGAGAGGCAGTAGATGATTGAAGGAAGTGTATGAGGTCAAGGGCTGGGTGGTTGACCCATCACCTGAGTAGGGAGAACTTAGACCAGAGGAAAAAAGGTAAAAATGGATTGGTGGTAAATACATTTGCAGATAGGATGGAAAGTTCAGAATGAGAAGAAAAAAAAACTAAAGAGCAAGCAAACAAACCAGTGAAAGTTTTGAGCATGGTCTGAGTAGAAGGTAACATTGAGAAGAGGTGTGAGAACAAGGAGTTAGGCTGTGAATTTAATGGCAGAAAAGTGATGGTGTACATTGAGAAGAGCCGTTGGAATGGAATGGAAGGGAATGGAAGGGAAAACTTACATTAGCTAATAAAAGTGCAGATAGGAGGCACCCATGGCTTGTGAAGTCAGAGCCCAGAAGTTTGGTTTCCTCAACTCACAGTGTTGTTCAATTTAGGGCTCAGTCCCCTAGATAGAATAGGAGAAAAGGTGGGTTGTTTCTTGTCTTTCATCTAAGGATCAGGTGGTATGCAGAGTGGGTAGTGGGAGGATAGATTGGAGGTAAATGGAGGTGCTGGTGAGAAGGTAGAGAAGGTAAATCATGACATTCAGTGTCAGTAGGAAAGCTACTATTGAAAGGACACGCACACTTGGGTGAGGGGAGATGTGGAATGAAGGAGAGGGAGGTCTCTGGGGTAAAAACAAGATCTTCTGAGAAAAGGAAAGTCAGGAGGTGGTGGTAGGATGAGATATTGGAATCTATGGCTTCTGAGACCTGAGTGCCTTCTTCAGACCAAAATTGAACAGACTGATTTTGGGGCTTAAGGACAGAAGATGAAGACCCAAAGAATTATTTCTGTCCCATGTAACTGTCTCTTCATCAATGCCCTGGATCCATACTGGGGGCTAAAGCAGTACAGTGGTTATCAATTCACAACTTTTCTGATCCCTGCCCCCTTTTATCTTATCATTCAAGAGAAATCTGGTTAAAAGCAACCATTAATGGGAGCCTGGGAACAGCTGACTGTGCAGGAAAATGGGAAAGTTAATCTATTAGACATTCCCTCAATCACCACTCGGACATAATGTGATTACGAGTGGTCGCTAGTGGGAACATTTGCAAGGTGGGAATATTGTACCGCAGGAAATATCATATTACATACTTGTTTCAATATATTTTAACAAAATGCTATGTGATGGAATAATCTGATACTAGGTGTAGTGTTTAAAGATACGTCAAAGAGAGGATGACTTAGCCTAGAGGTTTTGAAACACTATGGAAAAAATGGAAATCTTGGGTTGTTCTCATTAACTATTGTGGATAACCACTATATTTCCCAATCTGCAAAGTATGCAAATTGTAGAATATTCACAAAAAAGTTTTTGGAAAATGGCAACAAGAAAGGAGGTAATCTAAATGAGTGTTCTTCCAGAGCAGATCATTAGCATTTACTTTGGTTTTCCATCATTGTACCCTTAAATATTATCACCTACAACTCACACAGACACTAGACTACACCATACTCCATTTCTCTTTTGGTTACAAAGCTGTCATCTTGGAAAGCTTCATGAACTTTTTTCAAACTAAAGAGCGTATGACCTTAGGATCCCGAAAGAATAGAAATTACCTTAAGCATTCTTTTATTCTTGGATCACTTCATAACATTATTCAGGTTTCCTAGCCTCTTCCTTCAGGGCTAGTGCTCTGACCTTAGGGGGGAAATAAGGCTAAAGCCTAACAATGGAACAATGTACGTTGCCAGTCTAAGCAACTTTTTTTTTTTTTTTTTAATTTTTTTTTCAACGTTTATTTATGTTTGGGACAGAGAGAGACAGAGCATGAACGGGGGAGGGGCAGAGAGAGAGGGAGACACAGAATCGGAAACAGGCTCCAGGCTCTGAGCCATCAGCCCAGAGCCTGACGCGGGGCTTGAACTCACGGACCGCGAGATCGTGACCTGGCTGAAGTCGGCCGCCCAACCGACTGTGCCACCCAGGCGCCCCTAAGCAACTTTTTAATATATCTTGGACTGAGCTGGTGAAGTGCAGTAATTAGCATCATAAACACATCATTTTCTTTGCTTTGCTGGTTTAGAGTGTTTATGTACTCTATGGGTGTAAGTTTTTTTTTAAAAGTCCACCCTTGTACTTAAATTTTCTATCCCATCAGCAGAGTTTAGCTTACTTGGGCCTAAACTATGTCTTCTGATAGAATGAGGTACCCTCCAAATTACCGACACCAAACTCTGCCGCTCAATCAAGGGTGTATACATTTAGAAAAAAGATGCTGTTTGACCAGTCAAATGTAAATGTTTAATAATTTAGAAACACCAGAGCACAGCTTGTTCTGATTTATCTTGCAACTTTGCAGCTCCAACCCAGCCTCAGGCAACTATGGAATAGAAGTTCCAGCCAAGTGCAACGTTTCTTTTTTTAAGAAGGGAAAATAGAGATTAAAAATAAAAAAAGCAAATTGAAATCCTTTTCTATCTTTAACCTTCTCAGGATCACAGAAAAAGAATAGAGATGCAAAGTAGTCTGTCCTGAACCTAAACCAACAGGAGGGGGACAGGAGCTGTTTGGGAAGCCAGTGACAGACGTTCAGAAGCCTTCTGTGCATAGGTGAGTTAACTCCACATACAATAAATTCCCTTATTTCAGTTTTTCTAATTTCAAAATATTAGACTTGCTCAGTTTTTTTTCCCCAGTCGCCGAAGGATATCTTCGTTTACATGTTCTGTCCCACATCTCAACTTCATTAGGACTAAGAGTGCCTCTGTGCCAACCCAACTCTCACTCCTAAAGATAACTTGATGAGATAGCTGGCATTCCAAAGAAGGGTGGACGTTCAGTGAGAGAGGCCATAAAATGTGTATTAGCCTGGCTCCCAACTCACCAAGGTTTTTTTCTTTGCAGAAGCCCATGGGAGATGAATGCAGGGAAAAGAGTTCAGGGCATAGTGAGCACCGAGGCAGACATGTGATTTCTGAAGGAAAATCTCTTCAGACTAATTCCCAAGGGGGAGAGAGTTCTAATGTTTCTCTTGCGGTTGTGTTGTGCTTTGCTGCACTTTGTAATGAACGCTCTGGTCAAAAGAGTTCTGATGAAGTGGCACAAAACTGCATGTCGACCCACAGCCTCAGAAAGGAGGTCTCTCTGTTTTTATTTTAAGCATACCATAACATGGGATCCCACCAGTCTTTGAGAATTGAAATATAACAGCACACAACTGTTGTTTGGATTGCCTGTAGACCACAAAAGAATAGCCACGATGCCAGCAACTTTCCTTCTCCGCTCCAGCCAAATGTTCTAAACGCTGCATCCTGGAATTCTGGTGTAGAAGACCATTGACTTCTGGGGGAGGGGCATGCGGTCTTAGAAGACAACGACTGATTAGTTCTAATGCAGCGTGTGGTGATAGAAAGTGCCTTAGATAGGAATTTTAGCTTTTTTTTCTTCACCCCAGCAAGTAACTCTGCAATTGAGCCCTTCATTTAGCAGATGAGAAAATTAATGTTGATGGTAAGGAGTTTCCTTATCTGTAAGTGAAAAAGTCACTGTTTGAATTTCATGGTCAATAAGACCTTCCTAAAATTCTAAACTTTTCCTTTTTGTTTAGGGAGGGGTTATATCACTGGTGTAAAAAGTACTAGTTACTTAATACCCTCCATTTAAAAAATATATGACCTGTCAGGAAGTTACTTTTCTTAGTTCTTAGGGAAATTAATACTATACTAATTTTTTAAAAAAGTATTTCCCTGAGGGGCGCCCGGGTGGCTCAGTCAGTTAAGCCTCTGTCTTTGGCTCAGGTCATGATCTTGCAGTTTGTGGGTTTGAGCCCCGCTTCCGCTTCAGGCTCAAGCCTGGAGTCTGCTTTGGATTCTGTGTCTCCTTCTCTGACCCTCCCCGGCTCGCACTCTGTCTCTCTCTCAAAAAATATATAAACATTAAAAAAATGATTTCCTTGGCTAATTACGTCTAGAACTGATTGATGGGAGGGGATATGCAATTCTACTCCCTGCAAGATCTTAGAGATTAGGATACAGGTACTTCTCACTTACAGTGGGATACAGTAATTGAGTTCCTACTTATGGGAATAATGAGGCAGGACTCAGGAATTAGGCAGTGGTTATTTATTGCTTGTTACCATTGGTGTTCACTGGAACTCCCTCTCCCTTCCCCAGGGGATCAGAGCTGGGGTGGAGGCTTTAGGAAAATTTGAGCCAGACCTTGGGGATCGGCTGCTTGTAGGTCGGTTGAAGGAAGTTGGGAAGCAGCAGAAGAGGACGCACAGTTTATTTGAACTTTGACTTTGGGTTATTTGTGAATTTCTCTCTGTTCAGATTAGTGGAGAGTTGAATGACCAGATGTCTATATTACTATATGTCCACAGCAAAATGGATAATTTACCAAGGTTGTTTCTGATCTAATTATGTGGCAATCCTCAACTCTATGTTCAGCATTGTCTTTGTATTTATTCTTTTATCTCATGTCTGTACTTAACGACACAGAAATACTTTCATGAGAAAGAACACTGGCATACAATCGAATTATAAGAGGGAAAAATTTTGCTGAATTGGAAACTTTATTTAAATATCATTTGTTGTTCCATTGCATGCTCCCCTAGCTCTTAAGTGGCAAATAATAATGACACCAGTTATTTTTTTTTTTACCAAGAAGGGATTTGGGGATCATCCACTTGGTATTGAACTGCTGAGGATGCTTCACACGGTCAGTGAACGTCAAATCTCTGAAAGCAAAATATGTTGCTTTAATGCATGCAAGGTGATTTAACCCATGCAGAGTAATTCTATGAGCAGTAGAAAGATTTACAGGCATTAAGGTCACTCAGTCTAAATGGACCATGCTTTTGCAGCAAGGTGAACTATTGCCATAAAGGAATGTTGTTCTTCCTTGTATAAAAAAGGGGATGGTCGCTGGGACAAAGATGGGGAAGTTCTTTCACGTTAGGGGTTGGTAAAGAAGAGGGGAGGGAGGAGTGGTAATTCTGGCCAATTACATGGCCGAGACTGAGAACACCTCCAGATTCAGCCACCCTGGAGATTAAGTGTGGATCTTGTAAAAATGTCTTTATGTGTATACTCAAATAGTCTCTTATAAATAAGACAGAAGTCATGGGGCACACAGGCCTACAACGGCATAGAATCATCATAGTTGTACGAGACACTAAGGAGAGCCTTCTCCCTGCGGAGAAGGAAAATGATAGATAAATGATGGATGGCAGTGGTGCTTGTGGGTCACCAAGGCTTTTCTCTGCGGAGGTCTCCAGCCCCAGAACCTGCCTGGGACTCAGCAACAACATTGTGCAGCAGGGACCCTACCTGGGTGGCTGTGTTCCCTGCGTTTCAATAGCGACACCATGCGGCAGCAACTATAAAAAGGAATGGCCTCTGCCACTGAAGGACCAGGTTTTCTGGTTCTTTCAAGCATGGGTAAACATCCCTGGGAGCTCTCAAGATCTCACAGGAGGGGGAATCCTTGGAAGAAAAGGGAGAGAATGATTGCAGTCTACATGGACCATGGCACTTCTTCAAAATGGAGAAGACAGGGGAGCACACTCATTGACTGTTTTCCTTCAGGAACGATCTCCTTACTCAACAGGAAACATCAGGATAAATCAGTTTTAAGACTCAGGAAGATTCAGTATGAATGGCAGAACAAATCAAACTATATGCCAAACTGATTACCAAATAATCTGTCTGCATCAAGGACCTTAGAATAGAAGAGGTTGAGCTTTGCATTAGACCTACCTGGGTGTAAACACACTCCTGCCACTTATTAGGTTTGACTTTGGAGAAGTTATATAACTCTGGGCCTCAGCTTTCTTATCTGTATAATGGGAAGGAAGAACACACATCATAGAATGATCTTGAGAATTTCATGCATGAATCTAAATCAGTTGCTTAGGCCAGTAATGGACCCAGTCAACTGGCATTTGCTGGATGCTATTGGTTTTTTTACCTTTTTATACTGTCTTACTGCTTACCTCACTCCAAGTGTCCTTTACTTTCTCCAATTCAGTATTCATTCTGTAAGGTAGAAACCAGATCTTAATGTCAGTCTTATATCTTTTCTCTTTACATCTATATTTCTAGGATACATTTCAGTATTAAATTATATTTTCCTTAGGTTGTTTTTTTTTTAATAAACAGCCATTGCTTGAGATTTTCTGGTGCAACTGTAGGGTAAAGATCACACAGTTAAACACCTATAGGGGCCAGATGGGACTAGAAATGATTAAAGCAGACAAGATGAGAAAACTAAGCAGGGTCTCATGTGAGAGTGCCATAGAAAGGGCCTGGTAGAGTCAGCTGGCTGCTGGCAGGTGGAGAAGCAAGAAATACAGTTTTATAATATGGAATTAAACATATACCAGTAATACAAAATTCTGAAAACATCGTGGGCCAATCAAAACACATTATGTGGGCTAGAGTCGGGCCATGTCAGTTTGCAACGTCTAATTCACCTTCCTGGGTAAATACAGCTTTGGATGAGTGCCACCTAGTGGTAATAATTATAATTAAGAGGCAGTAAGTAACTGTAAATAAATAAACTGTAAAACAGCATGTTTATACTGTCTTGCTGCTTACCTTATTCCAAGGCTTTATTATTGTAATTCAAAGTATAAAGGGTGATCAGTGTCCTCTAATAGTTTCCTGAATAATTATTCATAGGTGCTGGTGGGCTCAGTTTTGGGAACCTCTTTAACACAAGTTGTGATATCATAAAGGTGGCTTCAGAAGCACTGCCTCAGAATTGTCAGCCAGAAGATCACCTAAATTCCATCCTATACTTTTTGGAGATTCTATTCCGATAAACTCTCCTATCTGATATCACTTTCCTAAGCCTCTGTCTTAATATTTACTTTGTCTAGAACTGGTAAGAGGTGGGAGTGAGGTAAAAGAAAAGGAATGATGGGTTAAGGTGAATAAGAGAGTAAAAACTTGGGCTGTCTACCATTTTTGCTCAATTCCTTTTTCTGTATTTTTATTGAATACCTAGTCCAGCTTCTGAGATTGATTTTTCGTATAAAATCATGATATCTTAAAATATTTTTTTGTATATTTATCAGGCCCATGATTATGACCTTTCAATAGACCAAAGGTCAGAAGACTACGGCCTGTAGGCCAAATATGGCCTGTCACATGTTTTTGTAAATAAAGTCTTATTAGAAGACATGTATGCTCATTTGTCTACGTAATGTCTATGGCTGCTTTCTTACTACAATCGCAGGGTTCAGTAGTTGTGACATATACCTAAAAATATTTGTTATCTGTCCCTTTACAGAAAAATTTTGCTGATTCTTGCAAAAATGTAGAACATTTCTTTTGATTACTGACTGCATGGTATATATTTTACCATCCATTTACTTGTAATCTTTCTGCACACTGAAATGTGTCTCTTTTAAACAGAAGATTGTTCCATTTTATTTCATCCAACCCTAGTTTTTATTTAACTGTCAAATTCAATTAAAGTGATGTATTCATTATTTATTCTTTCCATCTTATTTTGTGATTTTTGTTTATCTGCTTTTACGCTGTGCTCCATTTCCCCCCTCCTTTCAACCTTTTAGTAGGTTGTTTTTATTTAAAAACCCTGTT